GGGGTGGGATGATTTAAATAACCATTAAAACAAGGAAGGCAAATTTAAAAATTAACACTTAATAAAAAAACATATGCATTTAACAAGGCAGTCTGCCACCAATGAACCATGAACAAAGAATAGGTAACTTTTTAGGTTCTTGAAAAAAGTTTAAAAGGTGAGAATTTTTTTGTGTTCAAAAGTCATGATCTTAAAACAAACCCTTTTTGCCACAAACAGAGCATAATTGGTAGGACAAGTCCAAGCTTAAATGCAACTGAATGCTTACATGTATCAAATAAATAAATTAGTTAATTAATAAGCATTTACCTCTCCCCAAGTTTCTCCAGTATGCCAGAGATCCTTTCTCTTCTGTGCCAGTGTAGAAATACAATCAGAGATAGTTTCACTCATGTTATGCGGTGCAACTTGGCTCTCTTCAAGCTCAATCCAACCCATGGAGTGCACAGGAAAACTCAAAACCTACACAAAAAAATTCACAAAATAAAATATTTAGTCCTTTTGCTCCCTCAGGTGACCTACAAGTAATTAATTTACCTTACAATGTAAATACATTATCAAGTAGACATTTGATGTGGAGAACAAATAAAACTGGGTTATGTTGTTTGATTTAAAACCTAATCCCCACAGCTAAAATTACAAGAAACGCATATTGAGCAGTGTGAAGAAATGATAAACAATACAATTTTGGGATTGAAGGAAATAAACAATCCCAAGTCCTTTGACCTTTGTTTCCTTAGCTGCAATGCAGCAGAGAAAAAGCTTAATATGTATTCATTTACTCCTAAAAATTCTCTAAAATGTCATTTACATGCATTTTTTATTGCGCAGAGAGGTACATCTAAGTCACAGCACACAATATCAAATTGTAGCCCACATCCAAAGTCTTCAAACTTTGTAAACATCAGGTATGAAAAAAGAATTATGTGGAATATTGGTACCTTTTGTCTTTCTGTGCTTTCTGCTGGTTTGGCTTCTTCAGTTGATTTCTTCTAGATCATATTAGAAAAAGTACGTTTTAAGTTATATTTGCCTTTGAAACAGAACTTGATCTATTTTTCATCCCTCACATGCTTTCAATGAAAATAATCTAAAAAAATAACTGTATGAGGGCTGTACAAGATGGCAAGAGAAGGGTCAGACAAAAGACCTTCTGGCCCTGCCAGATGAGGGGTGAAAGAAAGAAGGTAAGAGAAAGAGTGGGGATGCTTACACTCAATCCGTCAATACCTGCAGCCAAATATTTTCCTTTATTACACGCCTTGGGAAGTCAGAGGGCCAATAACTAAAATCAACCAATCAAAATGCTCTTACTATTTCCGTTCAATATTCTCTCAGTATTGGAACTGGCACTGACCGGGCACTGTCCCGAATGGTCCCGAATGATACCGCACTTATGTCCCTTTGAACTTCAGTTGTGTAATAAATCTCTTATTAACCAAGCTTGCTCGGGACCATACTGGAAGAATATCGGCCCTCGGTCTTTTTTGTATGGACCTCGCTGTGCTTGGTCCACACTGTCAAGACCTTGGGCCGATATTCTCCCAGTACAGCCCTCGCACTTGGTTAATAAGATATATGTATTACCCCCGCCCTCTACTTAAATAGCTATTATACATATTCCAGACTGTAAGCACAAAAAAATCCAAAACAAATTAAAGACCTAGCATTACCAAAAAAAAGGCCTCACCTTAGGTCTGGTCGCAACCTGAGGCATGGTCCACTGAGTTGTTCCAGATGCAACATGCCAGTAATAAGTACCATTATCTCCATTCACTTCCTTCCAGCCCTCAGGTAGCTCATAGGAAACATTTTGATCCTCACTATCCCCTCCCATGGATGTTACCTCTTTGTTAAAATCTGTAGGTGTCGAGGGAGGCTCTGTTATGTCAACTTCCAAATAAGGTTGGACAGGTGTAACTTTGTCTGAGGAATTCTTTGTTTTATTGGATGGAATTATTATTTCCGAGTAATTTTCAATGGTGTTTCTGGGACTCAATGAGCCGTCACCCGTTTCTTCAAGTGTCACGATGTCCGCATGTGATTTTGATCTACGATGATGGAATTGGTTCTTTTCAGTTTGGCACGCAAGACTATCACTGTTTCCAGTGTCCTGTTTTAACTGAGCAGTTACATTTCCATCAGAAAGTTGTCTGCAGTGTTTCTTTTTAAATAATTTGAAACCACCCTCCTTTGACTTTTCTTCTAGTTTTGGTACTTTATCAAACTGGCAAGTATTCTGAGAAGGATCTGTCCTTTTCATGGTGTGTTCAAGGTTTGGTAACCTTGAAGGGAGTGGTGGTGGCATCTCTTCATCACTGGAGTCGTCATCATCATCACCAGATGCCCCTGGTATTCTAAGCTGATCAAGAGATTCAACTGAACCATTCAGTTCTGGCTTTGGGATCTTCTGCACCACAGCATAGGTAGGCTGGTTACCTGGTGCCTTCATATCTGTTAAGTGCAAATTCAATCACTATGTATCTATTTTTGTAACTGAGAAGGGTGG